CCGACAAACCGATGCCTCGAGGAGAGATTGTTGTTGGGGGATTTAGTGTAACTTCTGGCTATTTCAACAATCCTGAGAAAACTGATGAAGTTTACAAGGTGGAGTTCGTGCTTTGTATTTGTAGTGGGCGTGGTTTTGAGTATACAAGTAACTGTCTCATAGTTTGTATCAACTAATACCATGGTTCGCTTTCACCTGCCAGGTTGATGAGAGGGGCATGCGCTGGTTTTACACCGGAGATATCGGACTATTTCATCCTGATGGATCCCTTGAGATAATTGATAGGAAAAAGGATATTGTTAAACTTCAACATGGAGAGTATATATCTCTCGGAAAGGTGATTAGAAAATAAATCCCAATACTTATTTGTCGATACAGGGTCGGATGCTTATTTTCTTTAAAATGCTGATTGCAGGCTGAGGCAGCACTAATGTCGAGCAAATATGTCGACAATTTGATGGTACATGCGGATCCCTTCCACAGCTATTGTGTGGCTTTGATTGTTCTGTCACGAGAGGTTCTTGAGAAGTGGGCCGAAGAAGCTGGTATGGAGTACAAAGATTTCCCAGAACTGTGTGACAAAGCTGAAACTGTTAGTGAGGTCCAAAAATCCCTTTCAAAGGTCAGTTTATTTTCTTTATTTTTTTTTATATACTATCGACTTTTCACTAAACAACCAAGATAAGTTTCAAATCAGAAATTAAACACGTTTAGGAGGTCATTATCATTATACACAATTTGACCATCTCTTCAGGACTATGTGTCATTGTTGTATGGCTGCCATTGGTTATGCTTTCCGTGTCATCTATGGTATAAGAAATTAGCATTCATTTTTTCCCCTTTTCATAAGTATGTTTTGCCTTCCACGTATATGTTCAGAATTTTCCTTAAATTATTAATAACGCACTGCATTACAACCTGCATGTATCATCTAGGTTTTCGGTTAGTATGCATAGGATATGTTTAGTGAACATAAAAAACAAGGGGTATTATAGGTGGTGTGAGTAATGGGGGATAGTTGTGCAAGTGCAGGTGGCCAAGGATGCAAAACTGGACAAATTTGAAGTGCCTGCAAAGATTAAGTTGGTGGCGGATCCATGGACACCTGAGTCAGGGTTGGTCACAGCTGCACTCAAAATAAAGAGGGAACAGATCAAGGCAAAGTACAAAGACGAACTCCAAAAGATGTACCACTAAAAACATCATCAACGTCAGTTCTTGGTGAAATCTTTATATGTAATACTAAAAAAATTAAGTTTAAGCTTTCATGTATTTCTAGACAAGAGGCAAATTTTTACTTTTAAGGTGTATTAGATAACTTTATATGAACAATAGTTTCGGTAAACGTGAAGTTTCGGAATGGTAGACCTTTTTTGTTACCTTTTTAGCCGCTTATCGGTTTTTTTTTTAATTTCGTTTGTGAAAAGTCTGTTTAAATTGATTATGATAAAATGAGGATTAGTAACTAAACTGTTTTTTCAATTTTATAATTAATGTTGTTTTAAAATTTAGATTTATATAATTACAATTTATACTATTAGATATGATATAAAATGTCAGTGACGAAATTGATTATTTGCAGTTGTAGTAGTATCGAGATTAAGTACCGCAGGAGTTGGAGTGTTGGGAGTATGAAAAAAATAGATTAGATTCATTTGAGCTTTTGAAACTCCGATTATTGTAAAGGTGTAAAAATGTAAAATATGATTTTATTTCAATAATCCAAAGTTATATATATAAAAAAAATTGTTGTTCATTGTTCCCATATATAATGAGGTAAGGGGGAGATAAGATAGTAGACTGCCCCCAACATCAGGTTGAGAGCAACTTTCGTAGAAGACTTCCGAATTATGAAATGTCCTCCGTGAGACTCGATCCCACGACCTCAAGATTAAGAACCTTGTGCTTTACCAACTGAGTTGGATAGTCATCTCAAAGTTATTTATATAAAACGTTACTATAAAAAGAATTAGGGCTGAAAAGATCCAATTTGTGGTTGTAAATTTAAAATGAAAATATGCATCAAATTAGTAGTTGTCGACCAGGTCATGTGCTATATCTTTGAACTGACAAATTACATCACATAGTACTTTTAATTATTGATTTTGCCCTTAATTATTCTTGTGTTTACGTTAACGTTTGGTTTGTTACTATCATTGTTTATGTACCAATGATTATGTGAGATTACTGTCATGATCATTTTTTTAATAAAATAATTAAATATTATTTTAAAAAATAATTATGACTTTTTATTTTGAAAATTGGGGGTTTATGAATTGATTTGGAATAAAGTGGATCGACCTTTGGGCTAGGTAGGTCGAATACTTAAAAATAACTTTTAAAAACAATTTTAAGAAAAACGTTTTTCAAACAAAAACTAATATGTGTTTACAAAGATTCGATTAAAATGGGTTCGGAAGTCGATTACGTGTGGGATTAACACCCCCACAATGCCCAAAATTTGTATTGTGTCGCTCACACAGTCGTAACTGGTAGAAATCATAAATTGAATATAAAATTAAAAATATGATCCGTTTATTGAATATAATTAATTTACTTCGAACTAACTATTTAAAGAAAATTCTTTAACTCGATAAAAATCTTGAAATTTGCAATCATATGTCGGGAAAGATATTTCAACTATTTTTCATTGTTAAAGAATACTCCACCTCGATTATAAAAAATGTGAATCGAATATAAATTGACAATCAACATTTGCGTGAAATAAAAAATTGTTATTTAAAAAAACATGTATTACGCCATTGTTTAACTTAAAATAAAAAATTAATTAGCAAAATAAAATTGATTTATTTCAAGTACACATTTCGTTCAAATGTCGTATCGGATCGCACTACTTCAATCAAGCAGTGCTTTCCACGTCCATTCTACAAATCTTTGTTATTGAAAATATTCAAATAACTTAAACATTTTAATAGAGTATGAGAGACACACAATATCGATACAAAGGGTTAATTTTAAAATATAAATTAATATAAATGAGAAAAAAATAATATAACGCAATAAACAGTACATAATCATACAAAGATTAAGAGAAATTAATTAAACATATATATATATATATATATGATATAATAAAACATCTAACAATATGTATAATAAATAAATAAATAAATAAAACATACTAATTAAACAATTTGAACTATGATAATCGAAAGACATTAAATAACAAAAGGACTAAATTATAAAAAGACAAAATAATAAAGCATAAATATGTAATAAACACTATAATTTTACTTACAAGACCAAAACAGTAACCGAAATGAGCTGAAATTGAAATCTAAAATCTATGAAACAAATTCAAAATTTATCTTCTAAAGTAATATTTAAGGACTGGGAAAAAAATCAAGAACCAAGCCATAAATACTGATAAATTCACTATTACACAAATAAGGATCTAAATGAAATAAATCATGAATCAATAGCCTAAAATATACATTAAACCAAATGTATATTAAAAAATGATAATGACTAAAATACGAGCAATCAAAACTTGAAGCTGGAAATCAAAAGATTCAAAGTTCTATTCACTGATTAAAATGAAAAAATTACAACATGTCAGTCCCGATTTAAACATCCATGAAAATGGTAAAATACAAAAGGTAAGGACTTGAATATAAAATGAGGAAAATAGATGCCCAAAACAAGATTTCACAAAGCTTCATTGGTGACTAAAACATATACATTACAAATAAAGAGGACCTAAAGTGTGCTTTTCTCCTTTTCTCAAAACGCGCAGATCCTCTCTCACACACGACGTCGTTTCAAGAGCCATATATATGGCTAATCACAAGGTCATAACCGGCCACTTTCCTCACTTCTTCTATTTTCATTCAACCCCAAGAGAGAGAGAGAGAACCATACTCTCTCAACTCTCTCTTCCTCCTCTCTCCACTGCCGATGAAGGCTACCCGCAAATCCCTCCAGCTACCGTAAATAGGTGGTTCCGGCGAGGGAAACAACCCCCAAATATTTTTATCCCTAAACCCCAAAGCCCCAAAATACAAATGTAAACACTTCACCAAAAACCCGAAGAAAAAAATTTTTTCTCCGGCTGAGCTCTCCTAAGTCCGATGGCGTTACCGACAACCAGATCTCGGCGAAAGGTGAGTGATTTTTCTTTCTTTTTGATGGGTTTTTGTTCTGTTTTTTTTTTTTTTGTTTACACGAATCCTCTACCCTTTTTCTCTGATTTTTTTTTTCTTCAAAAGTCTCTTCTCATTTTCTTTTTGTCGTCTCTTCCTGCTTTATTTGGTGAGATGGTAATATATAGATTGTAGGGCATGGCTCTCTGACTTGGTAGTATTAAATCCTAATTTTTCGGGATTTAGTTTGGTTTTTTTAATTGGTTTTCGGATTTAGGCTACTGTAGATGAGATATGGGCTGATTTGGTGATATTTTCACTGTTCGCAGGTTCTGATGGCGATGGATGTCAGCGGCTGAGGAGGCTCCTGTGAAACTCACGCACTGGTCTGGAGACGAAACGTCGGGCGCGTGTACCACATGCGCCAACGATGGCTGCTCAACTCCCACAAAAAGGCGGCGGCGATTATTGGATTAGGGTTTAGAAACCTTAATCTATTTGAGTTTGCTAATGGGCCGGTTCGGATCGGGTTTGCTGCTGTTGGGCTTCAACTGGAGACTGGCTCGGGTCGGGTTAAATGCTGGGTCACTTGGTCAGCTTCTGTGTTCTGGATTGAGCCAGTTGGTTTGGGCTTCGGGTCAGCAGTTAGGCTTATGTTGTAATTGGGCTGGCCTACAAAATTGTAAATATATAAATTAAAATAATAATAATAATAAATATTTTTTGTAAACCCGGACAAAAAGGTATTTAAAATTACTTTTTTAAAAAGCTTCTAAATTTTATTAATTTTTTTAAACAAATAATAGTAATATTTTAAAAATTTTAATTTTAAAATATTTTAAAAGTATTTATAATACTAAAAATAGGAAATTGTAACAAAAATCTTGATAGAAAACAATGAGGTACCAAAATAGTTACGAAATGAAAATTTAAATACTAAATCAATAATATATAATGTTTTAAAGTAGCAAACATAAAATATAACTATTTTATGTTGACGAAAATAGATATCAGGCATCGTTAAACCAAACCAATCCATGCACACTGTAAATGAAATTTCTTTAAATTTTCTCCAACTGCATGTATAAACCACCACTTTTTCTCTTTCCTTTTCCCCTCGAGCTTTAGCCATGGTGCAGCAGTACCGAGAGCAACGAAAAGAAGAGACCCGTGTTCTTCATTAACGACCACCAAGACATCGTTGTCGAAATCCTCAAACGCCTCGACGGTCGTTCCCTCGGCGTCACCGCCTGCGTCTGCATCCTCTGGTGCAGCGTCGGTCGCAACGACTCCCTCTGGGAGCACCTCTTCTTCCGCCACGTTTCTCCTCCACCTTCCAGTGTGCGCTCCGTCATCGCTGCGCTGGGTGGCTACAAACGCCTCTACATGGTTTGCGACGGATTCCAGCTCTCCTTGTCTTTGTTCTGCGTTGATTGCTACGAGAGACTAGGCGGCGTTGACGGAATTAATAGTAACGGAGGCAAGGTCGCGATGGAATCCTCATCGTCGTCTCTAATGTTCCTTTGCAAGCCCCTCAACGTTTGATTAATCGACGCCTTTTCCTACTTACTTTCATCTTGTAAATTTTTACTGATATAATTATTCGTATATAAAAAATAATTATTTTTATCAGATTTTGAGGAAAAAATAAACATTATTTAAATAAAAGTTTGAATATGATAAATAAATAAAATGAAGTTAAACTTTAATTTATCTCAATTCCACATATAATTAACATATAATGTGATTATTGGAAATTAAATAAGGATAATTATTTATTTATTTTCCTTCAGATAATTCGTGATAATGTTTTTTTAATTGTTCATTAGCTAATTTAAGATAAGTTATGGTTATTGATGTCATATATTTCATGGCACACTCAATAATTTGCGTAAAAGTTTCTGTTGAAATGTCGTTGTAGCAATTAAAATATTTATTTGTGTGAAATTCAAGAAAATTGAGATTAGAAATCCCACATAGAGATCTTATGAAGTCCTAATCATCAGCTTAATTTCAATTAAGTTAAATATTAATAATATTATATAGCTTGAAAAACAAGTTCTTACAAATAAAATGGAAATTATGTATGTATTCAGTCGTATGATATCTTTCTTAAATGAAATTTAGCTATTAAATATTTTTAAAGATTAATAAATTGGAAAAAACATTTTAAATAATAAAATAAAATTTAAATTCAATTTCAATAATTAATTCATATTATACGGAGGAATAATTTCGAATAAACAAACAATATTTGAAAAAGAAATTTATTTTATTTTATTTTACAAAAGTATACATTTTACAGTTTTTTTTGTTGCTCAAATATAACATTTAAAAAAGATTTAAGCGAAAATTTGTATTTTTTTTAAGAAATCATAAAAATATTTAAAAAGTAACTCTTATTTTTTTATTTTAAAAAAAAATCTAAAAAACATAAATATATAATTTCCAAATATCTAAAACCTTAAAACTTTTAGCCCTACCACCCAAATCTCAAATGTTATCGTCGAAATCAATTTTGGCCAACAGTGAGTTCTCATAGAAGAAGAAGGGAATATGGATCATGAATTTGGGTACCATAAATTTCGAGAATTTAGGGGTTATGGAGTTTTAGAGATTTAAAGCTTAGGAATTTTAGAGGTTTATGACAATAAAGATGATCGACAATGAGATTCAATGATGGGTGAATGGGTGTTCAGTAATGTCGGTGACGATTAGGGGTTTTAGGGATTTTTTTAAATGATAATATTAAGTTTTTCTAAAATAATTTTTTTTAATTTATAAACGCATCAAGTGTCATATTTTGAGTCCTAACGATTTTTTCAATGGTCTTAATAGAAATTATCTTAAAATGATAACTCCTATTTTGATAAAAAAAAAGTTAAACACTTAAAACACTTATTTTTCAAATAAACCTTAAAAAATTATTTATTTTAGATTGTTTATCCAATTGGCACCTTTTTGTGTCATTTAAAACAAATGTGTGTCACGGTAGAGGCGCCTTGCAAACCGCACTTTCTGTCTATGTATTGGCAATTTGGTCTCAAGTTGAGCCAAAATGAATGACATAAAAAAATGGTAAAAAACATGAATAGTATTGTATGAATTCTGTCTAAAAAGTAAATGTGTCTGATGCATATTAAATACACATATTTGTACAAGTACAAGTTGGGTTAAACAATAATAATAACTCGTGTATATTAGTCTCATCTTCAATCACTCAATAAATGTATATTTAAAATGCAATTTTAAATTCATATTTAAACAATGTAAAACTTGAAAAGTTAATATTTATACATGTTGATTTTGAGTTGTCAAAAAGTTCTATCCAATTGGTGTGTGCAGTCTTATTTAGTTTAACTAATTACTGGTGCAGACAAATTGTACTTCCTGCTGTGGTGATCAAGAAAGTTGAACAACTTTGCTCTCGTTTCTTTTGGAGGGAGTTGATTTGCCTGCCAAGGGAGTTCGGGTGAGTTGGAAACAGATTTGCTTACTGAAGTTTGAAAGGGGTCTCGGGGTTATTGATTTACTTGGCTGGAATATGGCTTGTGTTGTGAAGCTGATTAGGAGCTTACTGGCAGAGGAGGGCTCCTTATGGGTGGCATGGATTCGGTCCTATGTAATAAGAAGCTATGATTTTTTACAGATGAAGTCTCCTACAAATGCCAGCTGGAACTTTAGGAAGTTACTGAAGATGAGGTCTGCCGTTCATCACTTATTTATTGGCCGAGACAGGGAGCTTAGCACCAGACAGATTTGGGAGGTCATGCGTTCCATGGCCCCGAAGGTTGCGTGGCACCACTTGGTTTGCTTCTCTCGGCATATCCCCAAACATAGCATAATCTTATGAATGACCATCTTAGATAGACTCCCTACCCGAGCGAGGCTTCTGCGGATGGGATTAATCATTGAGAATGACAAATGCTTGTTTTGTAACATGTTGCATGAGACTAGGAGCCACATCTTCTTTGAGTGTGGTTAAGCAAAAAGTCTATGGACAACCATTCTCCAACTCTGATGTCAATCGTAGTGTCTGCCATTGGGACGGTGAGCTAGCTTGGGCTGTTCACTGCTTTAAGGGTAAGTCTCTCATTACGAGAGTGTTAAAGCTTGCTCTGACGAGTTACTTATATGGCATTTGGAGAGAGAGGAATAACAGACTGTTTGGGGGGAAGACTAGACTGATGACGAAAATCCTAGATGATAGTAAAGATACTATTCGAATCCAGATGTTTGCCTGACATATCAATAAAACGAACCTGAGAAATGTTGCCCTCTATGTAAGCTGGGGCATTGTGTGAAGCTGCGAAGCAGTCTCCTTCTTTACTGCTCCTTGTCTTCCTACTGTATTTGTTAAGCTTGTTTCGTGTTTTACCTGAGGGTTTATAGCTTAGTAGATTTTGATGCAATGTAAGGACCTGGTTCTCTTGTACTTTTTTGGGTGATGAAATTGATTATCCAAAAAAAAAAGTTCTAAATTTAATCGTACTTATGTCAGTATGATAATCAAAAATAATTTTTAATATTAGGATCCCTTATATTTCAATACTCAATAACTGACATAGTTTAAGACATGTTTTTTTATAGTTCAAAATCTATATATTTTATCAAAAGATTGTTAAATTTCACATTATTTAGATATGTGTTTTCCCCCGAAGTATTTTAGTATAGACATTTAAACATTTACTCATTGAGTGATTGAAGACTTGCATAATATATGTATGTTGTCATTACTCATAACATGCTCGTGTAAATATGTTTTCGACACATACCACATACATGGATTATTTTTAGATAAAGTTTATATATTTTTGCATATTTTTTGTTTGATTTCTTCCATTTTAACTTGATATTTAAAATTTTAAATGACTTTTATCATATTAACAGAGTTAAAACCCTTCTGATTTGATGCGCTTTTATAGAAAGGATATCAATTCAAAAATAATTTGAAACGAATGTTACTTTGATTATTAATTTTGTATTTTTTTTTGAAAATTTGTATAAACAAAACAAATAGTAATTTCCATTATTACAATTATTGCAAAACTTAATTATTCTTTTTCTTTAATAAAAATATAATTTTATATTAAAATATAAAAACAAATAATAAATACAGACTGTAATAGCACACACCATTAAATGCTACTAACATCGTTTACTTTTCATGAAAATTATCGTTTTTATTTTATTAATAATATTATTAATTCTACCCCATCCCATTTTGCTGATCGGCGATAGACGGAATCCCTATTCCCCGCTGCCGATTTTAATTCCTCTTTAATCCTTATCTGAATCCCTAATTTGCTCCTTCACTTAGTTCAGTGTACTCCCCTACAACACAAAAATAGGAAAAGAAATCTGATTTTTTGTTTCCCTTTTATCCGTACCGAGATCCAGAACTTAGGTAAAAATCTTGATTTTTGTAAGATGTAAAGGGCACGTGGCGATCTAGATCTTGCTTCACTTCTCAAATCTAGGTGAGTTCATTTTCTTCCCTAGTATAGTTTATGTGGAAACGTTTACTTGTAAACACTTCAAATTTGTAGAAATCCTTGACCATTTAGTAGAAATTGCTGGTCAAACTACTTGATTTAAGTATTTTTTGACATGTTGAACTTGGATCCGTTTGCTTTTTTTTGTCATTTAGCTTCGAAATTAATGTGATCTGGGTTTTCGAGTTCTGCAAATTTAGCTGCCTTTTTTGGGGCGGTTCAAATGGGTTTCTTTTACTTGAGGAAATGACGAGAAAAGAAAGGAAAATAACCTCCAAGGTTTACATGTTTTTGGTTCTAATATAAGTTATAACCTAATAATGATTGGATGAGGTTAATTTTGATAGTTTTAGCTCAAAATTTCATCTTTCTCTTGCCTTTTTATGGGTTTTCCGAAATCAAATACAGCAGAAAGAGTTATCTTGAAACCAAAGACTAGTAATTATGATTAATTACGGATGTTTGATACTTGCATGAATTGATGTATTAGTATTTTACTTATAAAAACGAAGCTTGATTTTGGGAAAGAACTAACTGTTTTCCTGTTGACCATATGCAGAAAAGATGATATGGTTGAATATGTCAATTCATTCTTAAAGGTTAAGCATGTTGGGAGGGATATGACAACTTTTGTTTGAGAGTTTGGTTTTGAAATTTACCTAAATTTTCTGAATGGAAGCGAACAAAGAGGAAGCCCTTAACGTAAAAGAGATCGCGGAGAAGCGATTTTGTGAAAGAGACTTTGCTGGTGCTAAGACCTATGCCTTAAAGGCAAAATCACTGCATCCTGGATTGGAAGGTATATCGCAGATGGTATCCACATTTGAAGTGCATGCCGCCTCTGAGGTTAAGTGTAGTGGTGAAACCAATTATTATTCAATTCTTGGGCTGAAGCCTACAGCAGACAGAGATGCTGTGAAGAAACAGTATAGAAAGTTGGCAGTGTTACTCTATCCTGATAAGAATAAAAGTTGATATCAAGAGAAACAAACAGATGCCTTCGGGAGTGGTTCGAACTTCAACATATGCTGCTGGGGTAGCATGTGTTAA